TGTTGATTGTTAAGTCTTGAGGTGTAATTTGTAATTGAGAAACCCTAAAATTTTATAAAATCCATTATCTCTCTTCAAGATTAGTTTGGGCAAATCAATTAGACTTTAATTATGGTATAATAAAGTGTTAAGAAAGTTTAGTAATGTGATTTTATTGCTATAAAAATAGGAAATGGAAATTTGATGGGATTAGAAAGAAAAATTTCTATTTCTTATGAACCCTGGTATTTGCAGTGATGGATTAAGGTAATATTCTATATTAAGGGATTAAATATTGCTATGATTATTATATATCATTGGAAAGCTTATAGAATTTACTTTCCAATGAAATAAACAATAGTGAATTTTGAATTTTCTATGAAGAGTAGTTTATTTTTTATTGAAGGATGTACAAGCTTCCTGGTAGCAGCAATAGGGAAGAATTTCAAAATTCGTCTAAATTTTTATATAAGGAATTATGTATTGAGTACTACATGTTTGAAAATTTTACTAACTCTATTTCCAACAAAACAAACAGAACTGAATTCTGAGTCTCCTATGAATTAATATGCAATTTTTATTAGAAGGTATATAGGCTATCTGGCTGTAGCATATGATGTGGATTGTAAAAATTATTATAATTAATCCACAAGGAATCACTAGATGGACCATATATGGTTAGAAAGCTTATTGAGTCTAGTTTCTAATGCATTAAAAAGATTTTAATTCCATGTTGGATATCTTGAGATATCATCATTTTAGTGAAAGTAGTGCAGACTATCAAAATTAGTTGAGTTAATTCTTGTTAAACTTAATTGTTTTGGGATAAGTGGTCTCAAAAGGGTTGACTAATTACTGTTATATTGAAATTATCTTGAATAGGCCATTAATTATTTGGAGGAAAAAACTAAGTGGTGAAATCAGAATGAGGAAAATAGAAGCTCACACCTTTTACGGGGTGTATGGCTTGCCTAGTGTCCAATTTTACTCCAATTTCTTCTGGCATATTTGGAATTCTATTTATGATTTTTCTATTATTTTTATCAAAATTTTTGATTGTATGAAATATTTATTATTTTATATTTATGCGTAATTTAGTAATTATTATATTTTATGCACATATTTTTTGACATTTTATTTCATAATAAAATATTTTGATATGTTGGGAGTTTATTTGAGGTATGTAATCTCACTATATGTTGCTTAAAATTTACTTACTCTTGACATAAAGTTAGGTGCATAATTGAATGAATTTAGCAATTTTTTTTTTTTTAGACTATCATCTAAATGTAATATGCTTTATTTTCAAAAGGCAAATAAGATTTAAACTCCACAATGATTTGGTACAATCAATATCAAATTAATAATTTTATTTGGTAATTTCATTTAATGAATAAATAATTTTTGAATAATTATTCATTTAGAATAGTTAGAGTTTATAATATTGCCTACACTAATTTATGTGTCCTGTGACTATATTGGGTATGTATCATCATTTTTATTTGTGAAATTTATATTGTGATAGATAGTACATAAGAATAAATTATTGGATATTGAATATTTATTTATTTATAAAAAATTTAAGACATTCGATTTGAATGTAATAAATTAATTTTGATCTAGTGACATACATTCGGTTTAAGTATCTCATAGGGAGTGATAATATTTATAATGATCCAACTAGAAACACATTAATTATTGATGTCTCACACAAGAATGACCAATTCTTTAAGTATTTAATGACCCAAAAAGATATATATCATAGTTAAGTATTCAATGCGTGGTCAAAATGCATATACTTAGTTAAGTACACAAATTAAAATTATGGGTAATCCAAATTTCCCGATACGAGAATATACAATTGGTTAATATAGGTGTTTGGGTGCCAAAATGGCTCACTTATTAAAACTTGAAAGATTTTCTCATGTGTAGGAATGGGGTATTGTCAAATTACCTTATACAATTGTTTGTCCAAAAGGAGTTATTGTGTTTAGTAATTTGAAGTGGACATGAAGAATCATGGTTGAGGGTATATTAGTCTAGAAGATCTGTCAGCCCAAAGGAGATAGATTTTTCAAAAAAAAAAGAAAGAATATTTTCATATTGGCTTCATATGAAAAATATCTAATAACATGTCACATTCTTTACTCAAATGAGAGTTTGTGATGATACACTTAGACTTTTTAGTTTAATTACAAATAACACATCATGAGCTACTACTATTTGTATGGATTGTTGCTCATATATAAAAAGTTGCATTCTTTTGTCTTGAGATTAAAGTTGATTTGGTGATAAAAATTAAGTAGCTCTAATTAAAAGTGATAAAAAGTGATTTAGAGTCTAATTAAGTTATGGGCGTTTTCTTGGACATAATCGTTAGGTATTGAACATTTTGTTGATGATTGTCCAATTGTTAAAATATTACATTTTGTGATGATAAAAATCTTTTACTTAAGAGAATTTGTGAATATTTTAAATATTGTTTAATCATATGAATCCATGAAGATAATTGTCATAAACATGATCAGTAAATTTGTTATATTGCTTTGTTCCTATATATCATTATTTGATAAAGTGGTTTTATATAGGATCATGCTTACGCAAAATGTGACATGTGAAATTAAGTTTAATTATTTGGAGAGCATATGTTATGTGTGATAAATATGTTTAGCATGCTTACGGCGTTTTAGTTTTACATAATCACATAATTATGATTTAGAAATTTAGGCATTAAATTTAAAGCCTAATAAAATGCATAATGTGATATATATTTTGGAAATTTATGTTTTTAATGGACATATGAAACATATATGTTGGCAATAATGATTTATGAAAAGCATATAGATTTTATGCTAGTTTGTTGAAATGGCGGCGAGGCCATGTTTTATCATCCATGTTTCATGTTGGCTAATTTTCGTTCTAACACTAGTGACATGGGGATACACTTTGCTGACATGGTGGATCCATTCTTTGGTAACATAGGCACTGAAAGATGTTATGAGCAATTGCAAAAGCTAGAGAAGAAGTAAGACATGTTGTGAATATTTCTGGGGGATGAAACCTCTTGTTGAACCTGAGATAACAGATGGAATTGTTAAAGTCTCTGCAGGTGTTGTTATCTGAGCTTTTCGTAAGTATGTTAGTCCCAGATTTGGTTCTATTGCGTCAAAGTTATGGTTGAATATCTGCATTTTTTTTTTTTTTTGCTGTGATATATCATTTTCCTTTGTAATAAGTTCTCATAGTTTATGTGGGTATCAAAGTGGCCTATTTGTGTTGCAGCAGCACCAGATGGCAGTGCTTTATGCACTGCTGTCACCTCTTGAAACCTGAAAATGCTTTTGATCCAAATAGAGTGAAATGTGTGGTAGATAATCGTGGCTGTGCTATTTAATTCTCTAGAGGACTGATTCCATTTAACAAGTAAGATTATGCATCTCTATGTGTTTGTGCGTGGGTATTTTAAGTGTTACATCTTTTGTTTTAATTGCATTTGCATTTTGCGCTAATGTATTTGTCTACTGAATTGATATAGATCAGCGAAAGTAAATCCACAGTATCTATACTCGCTTCATCTTGGAATTCAGGTATCGAGATGGTATTTCGCTATTGTTTAAAATTAAAAATAAATCTATTTTTCCTTTGTTTCTTCAATTAATTGATGCTACTGAATTTTATGTCTGAACAGAGCTATGATTCAGAGTTTCTAAAAATATATCCAAAGCTTCAGCCTACTCCACTGCAACTTGAAGAAGATCTAGAACAGCTTAAAGTCCTTGAGATGGCTATAAGATGAAGGTATGGTAAAAATCATATACCATTGTTTAATCCTTCTACCGGTCAGAAAAAATTATACTAAACCTTGTCTACACTTTGCATGAATGTAATCATTGTGTTCTTTATCACATTTAGACCATTGTTTTCACTTTATGACACTTGAGAGATGATAACGTGTCATGTGCTGTTAAAACTTTGAAATTCACTTGTCTTAATCCCGTAGTTTCATATTACTTACCAAATATAACCTGGTGTCACATGCAAGCATTCACATGGCGAAAGGCCATAGGCTAAATCTCTCATTATGTCACTAATATTCATGATGGAGCTGCCCTCACATAGCAGAAGATTGCTCCATCAAATATGAGTGTGAGGTGAGTTGATCTTCTAAAGATATTAGAAGTCAGAACACCCTTCCTGAAATTTGCAGCAAAATCAGCTAATTTTTTACCTCATGCAAAAGTACATTATCTTAATTATCCAGATTGAAGAAAATTGATTCATGTAGCCGGTGGAAGCAATTTGCATTTAAGCTGTAATTGAAGTGATTTGAACTAATATTGGATAGTATATAGTGCGTCTTTCTGGGTATTAAATTCCAAAATTTTGTATTAAAAGATAAATAGATAAGCTGGTAATAAATTTGGATGATCATGTTAATTCACACCTGTTTTTCCGCAAGTCATAAAGGTTGATCACGAGGCTCATGGAGTTGACACACCTGAAGATGTGGAGAAGATCGAATCTCTAATGCGTGAGAGAAACTTGTCTTAGTTCAAAGAGAACTCAAATCAGACATTTATAATTGAATCTCTTATGGAATAGGTTATATCATTATATGTTTTTTTTCACGTACATTATTTAGGAAAGAAAGGAAGGAATAACCACCATAAAATTCCTTGTAGCACTCTTTGTTGGTGAAGATATGATAGACCTGTCACCCAATCTTACATGTCTTCTAGCACTATTTTATTCTTTTGTTAAAGCACCTATCCAAATACTAAGTCAAAGCAGCAACATGCAGTCAAAGCTGAAAAACTAAAACTTGTATAAATGAAAAAGTTGTATCCAGGGGCGGTCAACTTTCTACTGAGGCAAAGTAACAGTTTTTAGAATTTATACAACACATAAAGCGAGAAACCCAATTAGATTCATAGGCAATTATTGCCAGTCAAAGCAACAGCAAAGAAATCAAAGAAGCAGGGTTAATGAAAATCAGAAAATGTGCTCAAAGTAATGGAAATTCAAACATCAAAAAGTACAAAACCAAGTAGAAGTATGAGCAACCATGATCTACAAAACCTACCATAGTAATCAGGCACCTTTCTCATCCTTTCCTCTTCAAGCAGCTTGCATATCTCCTCCTTGGCCTTCAAAATGGCACCAATTCCACCTTGGGATCTATAGAACATCGAACCTTCTTGATGTTCTTTAGCAGCTAACACCAACTGAATATCCCGAGTTCTACACAGTTGAAGAACTCGCTCAAGCACCAACTCTTTACTAATAATAACAAAGTTCCCGCGAATATCAAGCTCCTCTCCCTGCTTCTTGTACTCCATTTTTCTGGCCCCTGTGGTTATATCTTGTAACTCAAATGCTACTAGATCTACCTCATTCCATAAGAATACAACACCTAAGACATTCAACTCCAATAGTTTCATAATTGATTCGATGTGTACCACACACCTAGCATCCTTATTTGCTACGAGTTCAAGATATTCTTTTAGCATTCTCTTTTGAATAACTACAACAACATTCCCTAAGATATCAACTGACTGATTGAGAGCTTCATCAAGGAAATATCGGCCTCCATAAACTATACTGCATTCTTTCAAAACTTTCTTAAAAATTCTGGATGCAAAAATTTTCAGTAGCGTTCTCCTGTCAGGCAACATTTTCAAACACTCCATTAAGGCAGAGTCAATATCAAAGGCGAACCAAAAATCAGCCAAGTACATCCCATAAGAGCCTCGATAAGCCAAAAATTTTCCAAGAAAGTTTGAGCTAAATACTCAACCTGCCTATGACCTCCCTGTATTAATATTCTTTCGCTAAGATGAATATCAGGAAGAAAGATCACAAAATTACCAGAAACTGTAGTTAAACCCATTAGTTTTCATCCTACCAGAAAAAACCCATATCTATCTTCAGAATCTAAAAGATCTTGAAGAAACTTAGTCTTGAACTCTCTTTGAACACTAGAATCTAATCTCAAACCCCTTTTAAAAGGACATAGGAAAAGGAAATTGGCATCTTTAAACTTTCCGTTGTCATTCTTCCAATTCCAGCATAAAGAAGGAGCCCATTTAGATGAAGTGGCCCCTCAATTTTTTTTAACAATTCTAGCGAATGAGAAAAAGAATTTCTACTTCTTTCTTCTGTTATAACAGCCAACCTGTTCTCCAAACTACTGGTCACATATTCTTTATCTTCACAAGGAATGGACAATGATATCAAAGAGGTAAAAGAACAGTAGTGCTGCAATTTTTTATAAGAAGTTTGAGCTCAAGAAGATGCATCCTATATGAAGAAAGAAAGAAAAGACATATATCAAGAAAGAAAGAAAGAAAAAACATAAATATAAAGAAAGAAAGAAAAGACAAGATTATGAACTACTAAAATAAAACGAAAGAGAATAACTCAGAAAGAAGATAAAGATTACCTGAAATCTTTAGGTAGCAGGAAGACGTCACAGAATAACTACACTGCAGAAGGAAGGAAAAAAAAACAGAAGAGACAGAAATAGACCAGAGAAATGTGAACAGAGAGAATAGTGCAGAAGAAGAGAGAATGGAGAAAGTTTTAATGTCATTCACGATGATCGTTTACAATATATATGCCTTCCTTTCAATATATTAAAGCGAACACGTGATATATATATATATATATATATATTTATATGCTTGTAGCAATGAGAAGCCAGTGGTGAACTATGTTGCTGCAATGGTTCCTTTGCTTTGCATTTCACTTGTTACTGATAGCATCCAAGTTGTTCTTTCTGGTTAGTAATTTCTCATCACTGTTTCATTCTTAACCTAATGATAATTTAAAAAAAAAGGTGGCAAAGAGGAGATTCTAATTCTGCTTTCTAACGAAAAAGATCATGCAACAATCATCAAGTCAAATGTTCAAGTGCCGAGATTGTAATAATTGAGCCAAATGTTCGAGTGCCAAAATTATTTGATTTTTCTTTTAATATTTTCCACCAGGAGTTGCTAAAGGATGTGGATGGCAATATATAGGAGCTTATGTAAATCTTGGTGCATTTTATCTTATTGGATTGCCAGTGGGAATTATACTTGGATTTGTGTCACATCTAAATGGAAGAGGCCTTTGGATTGGAATTGTAGCCGGTTCAATTGTGCAAACTGTCCTTTCTCTGTTTGCAATATTCACAAATTGGGAAAAACAGGTTGGTTCTCAAAATTATGTATTTTGGAAATTATAATTCTCTATTATTTTCTGTCTATGTTTCTTAAAATCATTTTGTTTCCTTGGTTATGTGATAAATTTTCATACATGTGGATATTGTTGTAGGTAGCCAAGGCCAAAGAGAGGATATCTATGGGGAATTAATCATGTTTTGCATTTTCCAAATGAAAAAGCAGAACATTTTATAAGTCCAAGAACAGATAATGGTAAGAGAAAATGACAATTAAACATAATTCCCAATCAAGTGATTCACCCTTAATTAGATTCTATTGAGAGCGTTTAAGTTTCCCATTTCTCTTTATAAATATATTTATGAATTCGAAGATTAATTTTTAGTCTAATAAATGTAGAATTTGAATCTCAATATTTATAATTTTTTTATTATACTTCAGACTGAAATTTTTTTGTAAAACATTTAACCTTTTGAACTTGATTATTGTACTACATTTTCTTCAACAGGAAAATCACTAGTAAACTAGAGATCCAATCAAAAATAAAAAATTAATAGATACCAAAGATTAAAGTAAATTAAAGAAAAACTTTTGAATAGAGGATTATTGTTTCTGGTTATCATTATATCTATTTTCTGTAAATAATGTATATAAAATAATGTTCGAATTCAATCAATCATTTCTTTGTAATTTTATATTCCATTCTTCAATTGCAAGATTTGTAATTTACAAATTGCAAGTTAAATTACAAATCTTGCAAGTTACTAAGTTTATTGAAAATTGAAAAACAATGTTCATAGAAAAACTTGTGTTATATTATTGTTCTATAAATTTTTTTGTTCAATGAAAAGCTCCATTCTTAAGGAAAGGGTGAAACACTTTTAGTGATTACAGCACACTTGATCCAATTTTGTATACTCTTTGTCACAATCCAGGATTCTTCAATATTCTTAAATTGAGGAAGTTGAAGAGTCCTCTTTACAAATGCAACATGACAAATTTTACCTAATACCATAAGTTCACCACAACATTTATCAGTGACACCCGATTTTGAAGATACTTGTGAAAAACTCCATAATGCAATTTAGACCCATTTTGGTTTCATTTTCACGATTATATATATTTTATAATATCAACCTCTTCCCTAGCTACGATTACTCTACTCATTACAAACAAAACCATAAAGACAAAATAAATATTGAAGCTTGCCATTATGGGTAATGAGGATCTCTTCACTTTTCGTTGGAAAAATGTTTTCCCACAACATTCACCGGCAAAAAATGATTTATTCACAACAAAGAAGAGATGTTATTGAAAGATAAAAGTAATTCGTTACATTTCAGTTTCAAAAGTTGATTTTAATCACTTTATAACAACCAATAAAAAATTCTTAATGATGTCAGTTACTCTTTTTTATTTATTAGCATTAATATATTCCTGTAAAGAACCAATTAACGTTTTCCCCAAAGAGCGAGAGTGAAATTTTAACTTAACTGAAAATAAAAAATATTTTAAAATTTTAAAATAACTATCATTATGATTTTTTTTTTGTTTTTTGTTTTTTATTTATCGAAATAAATAAAAAAAGAGATTGACAGATGTCCAACATCCAAAGTTAATAAATAATAGGGCTTTTTTTAAAAAAAATAAAATCGAGAACTTCTAATTAAGTTTATTCGATTTAATAACTTGCGTTAGAAAAAAAAATCAACATTCATCTAGTGGTTATTATCTTCTTTTATGAATATTTAGATACAAATTTTGAATTCTCATTTCTTGCCATACCTTTCATATATATATATATATATATATATAATAAAAACCTGAGTTCTAAAACATCTAATGTTATGTCAAACAAAATGAATAACATGTAATGAAAATCATCATGATAATTTAAATATTTAATCAATGAGGTGACCTTATTACTATGGTGGTGTTATTATTCATAAAAACACTTTATTTAAATAATAAACCTTAAATCTTAGCTATTAAAAAATTTTTGTGTTTTGGTATATTATTAGAAATCAAATGTTATTTTATTTGAAAGTATCGAAGTAACCATTTTTAATAATTACATAATTAATTAATAATTTCAATTTTGTTTAAAGATAAAAATTTATATTAGTAATATTTTATTTACCTCATAATAAAGTATAACTAAATTATTAAATTAAAAAAATATTTATTGATACATAAAAAAATTTATAATTTAAATTATGTTAAAAAGTATTTAAAGTAGAAAATTAAATTAAATCTATAATTATAATAAAAAGAAAACAAAATTTTATATTACAAATTACAAGTTATACAATGTTCATAAAAACCTTGTGCCTTATTATTGTTCTATAAACTTTTTTATTGGATAAATAAATCCAACCATCAGGTAGTTGGGGAGGATGAAACACTCTAGGTGACTATAACGCAGGTATTCCAAGTCTTAATACTCTTTGCAACAACCTTCGATTCTTCAATATTTTTAAATTGAGGAAGTTGAAGAGTCCTCTTTACTAATGCAGCATGACAAACTTTATCTAAAAGTTCACCACAACACTTATTAGTAACACTTCCCATTATGAAGATACTTATGAAAGCCTCCATAATACAATTTTGATTTAATTTGGTTTCACTTTCACAATTATATTTTTTACATAATATCAACCTCCTCTATGCCTACACCACTTGTTACTAATAAAATCACCAAAATGGAACAAACATTGAAGCTTGCCATTTTGTTTAATGTTTTTCCAATGACTTTCACTTGCAAGAAAAAAATTATTTATAGGTCGTCATAACAAAGGAGAGGTGCTTTGGACGATAAAAGAAATTCATTACATTTCGGTTTCAAGAGTTGATTTTACTCTTTTTATTACAAATATTCTTATGATATGAGTTATTCTTTGTTATTTATTAGCATTAACTTTTTCTTGTTAAGAACCATCCTTTTTTTAGCCCTAGTGAGAGTGAATATTTGAATTAAAGAAATCAATAAACAAAGACTAGAGAAAAAAAAAAATCAAGGGACTGACCTCCTAACATCCAACTTTAATAAAAATTAAGGGCCTTTACTGAAAAAAATTGACCACTTTTAATTAAGTTTGATTCAAAATAGTAACTTAAAAAATTTTGAATTTAAAAAACTAAAACTTTAATCCCGTTGTTATTATCATCTTTATGATAATTAAGATTCAAAGTTCAATTCTTTGTTTTTCTAACCTCTCATATGTGTAAAAAAACAAAAAAGAAAAGAAATGAGTTCTTCTAATATTAAACAAAAAAAAAAAAGAGAGAAAAGTATGTAATGAAACAAACCTAAAATAATAAGTTTATATTTGATTAATGCTTTTTTTGCTATTTATTATTTACTTTTATTTTCTAATTGTTTATTTTAAAAATATAAAAAAATCAATTAAATCAACTTTGATTAAATTTAAACTGATTTGATTTGACTCAAGTGAATTTAAGTAAGTAGACTTTTTTTTTTGTGTGAAAAAATATCAATTGACTCATTTATATCTTATTATTTATATCTTTCTTATTGGTTTTTGGTTTAACTTGTTTATACTTTTAATTTTTTT